CGAATTTTGATGTATTTCTGCTTTTCTGTGATTGGCTCTCCTTAACGACTATTGGATAGAAATTCTTCTACATTTTTCCGAGATTCGCTAAATGCATTGATTGAGTTGTGTTTTTAAAGTTGTACAGGTCTCGAAGGAGTCAATGAATTACTCTAAATTGACATCTTATTAAACCTCTACCTAGCATATAATAAAACCCTCACATTTTAAATCCCTAAAAAAACTCTGTCATCACTTATTCTTTACACGATTATTAAAATCCTCATAGTTATGCAATCCTCTTGAAATACTGCCAACTGCTGTTTCAGATGTCTCTAGACATATCGATAATTAAGGTTTTGCATTTTTATGCTAAAGTTTCAAGCCATCCTTTACTTATAAAAATTCATCTTTCCTTCTGTCTATACTTGCCTACTTGAAGAACTTCTGATTACTTTTGGATTTCGACTTTCAGATAGTTGCCTCCCACCCTTTTCGTCCAAGTGCAACCGGTGGTGGAGGTCGGGAATCATATAGTCTGCTTAACCCATTGGCGACGCCTCGTCGTCGCCGACCCATCCATTACTCTAGCCGTCTAGGCCATGCTACTCCCATCCCGACATCCGCCTTTCCTGTTGACCCGCAGCAACATCACCTTTGTCCACCTGGAACACGTCCTATTTCCGTCGGAGCCGAATCCGGTTCTGGATCAGTATCTTCCTCTGGTGCTACATCTCCCAGGCCCGCTTGCATACCACGCCACTTGCGTGTCGTTTTGCCCCGGCTTGCCTCAGTTACAATGCCAGCCAGTCAGCTCAAATGGGCTGCGCCAAACAGCGTTGAAAACTGTGATGGTTTCTTCCTCAGTTCCTCAGAGCCAGGTAATAGCACTTGCAGGAGCGGATTTAACGGTTCTAGCGCCTCTGGATGGTCCAGAACCCCACCATCGTCAACACATTCATCGGCTACCGTCAAACTCGCCTCTTGGACGCATTCACCATCAGAGTAAGCACACATTTAGAAACTTCTCTTTGCTATCAAATCTTTTTCTATAATTATATCTGTAGTGATGGGCTATTTATTTTGGTATTCACTATTTGGCCAACTTAATCTACCCAAGACCATTCTATACCATATATATGTTTTCATTAATTTTTAGATGTAAAAATCCACTTTAAAATTTGTTTTTTTCGGGATGCTAATTTTTATCAACTTTCTTAGCCACTTTTCAGTCTTCGCGTCTTCCATTAAATCCATATTGGAACCTATCTGCAGACTTGTAGAAATTACCCTAGCTTGGAATTTAAATAGAAGTATAAATTTGTCTGGTTAAAAATATAAAGAAATAATTCTGTTGCTTAATTTTATCAAGCACCGTCATTTGTGCATTTTTCTTCATGAGCAGAAAATATGTGCATTTTACCATCGTTTTATCTCTACGCTGATTGAAAACGATCATCAGTTTAAATCCTGGGGATCTCATGTATTTTAAAGAAATGTCCTTTAATGGATGTATCCTAACTTTGTACAATATTCCTGTGACAAGAGGCCAAATTGGCTCTCACCTGAGAGTAATAAATGATGGAATTACCGATATTTCCTTGAAACTATCGATGCTTCTTATAGTGCCTCTTCAAGGCCTTTTTGGTTTTATAGAAGTTCTTTATCCTTGGTTTCGCAACTTGTTCATGTTAACAGGAAGATCTAGAGTCCCTGTCCGGAGTTCATAGTATGCACGATCTTTTCCAGAGTCGGACTGTGAACTTGGGAGAGGGATTGGGTTACATAAATTGGACATTGTGACCAAATGGACCAATAACGCACTTGAGATGCAGCAGGCGACCAGAGATAGATGTCCACTGTTTGCTCAGGGTACACGGACTTACTCAAGGAGAGGATGCGTGAAGATAATGCCTAATATCCGCAGGCATGGGAATCAGAGCCTTGGCGATTTGAAGATCAAGCGTCTTTGTACGTGCTATTGAAGGATTGAGAAATAACACATGGAGTAAAAGTACATTGAGGATGGAACCGAGTTAAATCGGTCAACTAGAAACATAAGTAATGGAC